CTGGCGGACAACACGACCGTCATCGACTCTGGCGGAGGCAAAGCCGAGGTGCCTGTCCGTGCGCATTTTCATCTTCTCAGCGCGATCTTCCCGTCCCAAACGCCGCCGTATCGTCCCTGGCCCTAGGCGTGCGGCGCCAAGAACGCCCTCGTGAAGGACGTCCCCGCAAAGTCTGGCGCGGAGGCCTCCGACGAGAGCATCCTCAAGAAAGACCTGGCCGCGGCAGAGGCGCCCTCCGCGGGCACGGTCGACTCCGACAAGGCCAAGGCCACTTCGCTCCTCGGAGCCAAGGTGCGCGTGCGCACGCCAGGGATTGGGATCATCCGTTTGGGATCATCCCTCTCCGGTCTCCGAAAGCGTGCACGTGCTCTCCCTGGCCCACAGGCGGAGAAGGCAACGAAGGGCGTGGAGGATATGCTCGAGACAGTCTGCGCCCGGGAGGACATGCTCAAGAGAGTCCGAAGAGCGGGGCGCACTGCAGTGTCCCCCGCCACACCCCGTGGCGTCCCCGCTGTATTCGCAGCCCTCGTGCACACGCGGTGCCACGAGCACACGGCACGGGGCACGCTGCGCGTGGTAGTGCGGCAGAGCTGCGCGCACTGCGGCGCGGCGAAAGAGGCCGAGGCCGCAGTTGCACCGTAGCCACACCGCGGGTGGTGGCGTCTTCACACTGCTGCTCCCCCACCCGGGCTTCCCGAGGCGCCGGCACCTCAATGCATCCTCAATGGACACACCTGCTCATTCACAGCGCGCAACGAATAGGCCCTCCACTCGGGCTACCCAAGCACCATCCGAATCCACTCCTCCCTGCCCTCGTCTGGGTCCGAGGCTGACTGCTCCGACGCCGACAGCGCCGCCAGGCCGGTCGGCGGCTGCGCGGCTCTGTGGCTGTGAACAGCGCCTCTTCACACCTCGAGCCGTGAGCAGGTCGGCGGTCAGCGGCTGCGCGACTCCTGCGGCGCCATCGCGAGCCGCGCCGTCGCTTGCGCCGTCGCCCGCGCCGTCGCCGGCGCTCGAGCAGAGCGATGTTGCGGAGCTGGCATGGCGCATCCGCGCAATCATGGCGCAGCACGCCGAGGACTGCAAGCGGATGACGCCGCACTACGCGGCGCGCTACGCCAAGCGCTCGCTCGACGCGCTGCAGGCCGCCGGCCCGCCCGCGCCAGACAGACCCCGCACCCCGTCCGCAGCCTCGTGTCCCGTACAGCCACAAGCTCGGGGCCGTCGTCACACTCCCGTGCCCCCTCCCGCCGCCACGCGGTTCCTTTCTTTTGTGCAGGCCGAGTCGATCGCCTCGCCGGCGCCGTCCGTCGCTCGGCCGACCCCGGGGCGAGGAGGAGGGAGGACACCGGCGGCGGCGGCGCTTGCGGGCGGCGGTGGCGCCGCTCCCTACGCGCCGCCGCACCGCTCCCCCTTCGGAGTCGCGCCGTCTCGGGCCGGCAGCTCGCAGCGCCCCCCAACCTCGCTGGCCGAGGGCGGCGGGACGCCGATGAGAGTGGTGTGAGATGTGGGAAATTTTGTGGCATGGGTGGGGCACGTGCAGTCGGTGCCGTTGCGCGTCGCTCAATCAGCTAGAGGACAACATCATGTTCAAGAGAGGGGTTAGGAAAGGACTAAGGTGAGCACGGCGCTTGAGCGTTATTGTGCAGACGGACGCACAGGGAAAACATTCTTCCGGAAAAGAAAATTTAACTCGAGGGTCGCGGCCGCGGACATCGCCAGACCCGCCACCCCGCCACACACGCTCGACGCAAACACGTATGGGAGATTAAGGGTGGGTCACACGTCATAGCAGGAAGGAAGCATGCACGTTATTGTACTACGTAGTACATGCATTGGCGCCCAGCGCCAAGCTACATGCGCATGCACATCAGCACA